TTTTTCTCTTTTTTCCACGTCAATCATATTGAAACATCAAATAGTAGGTTGAGCATAGAGAGATAGAGAGAAGGGGAGGAGGTATCGATGAAACGAACGTTTCCATAATCATGGTCATAGACTACTTCCATTTCCGCGCCAAAACATAATTCAAATGAGCCGACGAGTTATTATATGACGTAGAATATGTATTTAATACCTTTTTTCTCTTTTTCCGCTAAATAATATAATTTGAAAAATGAAAATCGAAACGATGAGCATGTTTCAATGTATGGAATCGACTTTCAATACGAATAAACGCAATTGCGTAGTACTTTCTGGCTATGATGCATGGCAGTCATAGCATTCAGCATGCATTTTCCCAAACAAAGGCATTCATGACTCTCAACATACGTGTGAACTTTCAGAGAACGTGTATCTCATGTCTGTGTGTGTGTGTGTGTCTGCGTGATGGGGTCGCTTGGAAATGAATCAAAGCAGTCGTCTTCACCGTTGTTCCAAGATGGTCAACGCAACCTCAGGTAAGTGTCGCTTCGACTAACCGTTGTACTTTCCTTTTAAATAATTCCTTCTTCAAAAAAAGCTTCATCGCTGTCACTCACAAATTCTCCTTCACATTCAATGTCTTTTCAGTTTCCATTTTGCAAATCTTTCTCAAAACCCAAAGAGGAAGAGACTATTGACATAGCTAACTATAATGAATAATTAAATGTCCCTCCGTCTTTTGTCCTCTAATTCAACTTCTTGCCTCGAATTCAGATGATCTTCATACTTGCCTCATATGGTTCGAGTCTCATTTCGTTTTTCGAACATCTCTCCCTCTCTCTCTCTCATTCCTATTTTGCACATAAACCTAGAATTATTTGAAATAATGAGATGCCCTAAGGGTGTTCTCATAAACTCCTTTCATCATCTCATAAGCTTCAGTCTTGTCCTTAGCGTCATCCAGCTTCCTCCATTCATTTTCAGAGTTTTTTAGTTTTTCCTAAATCTCCGCCAGAACTACGTTCATTGACTGTTTTAATTATTCTTTTGAAAATACACATGTACAATGGACCTGTTAATGAAAAGGAAACAAGAAGAATGAGATGGCCGAGGCAAATCACTCTCCTCACTGACCCCAATAGAGGCAATGAGGTTGCCTATATTCTATAAATTAAACTATATTCTAAACCATTCTTGGAATCCCTCTTGAACTATCTATGAACCTATCAAACTACAAACACATCCGATTCAAACATGCACACTTACACATACACACACACACCACTACAACATGCTTTGCTCACTTTCTCGTTCGTATGTTGTTGTGCTCCCTTTTCCCGTTTCTTTAACCTCTCTAACCACGATATGAACATGAAATGATTTCGTTTGTACCTCAACATGTCAATTCCTGTTTCTTCAATAAATTTGTTGATTGACAAATCTCTTCTATCATTTCGTTTACGAACAGACAGGATCTTTTGTCGATTTGCTTGCTCAAACAGTATCTAATCATTCATCAACATCTTCTGGATTCATCCCTTGCGCTACCTAACCTACATGACTCTCGTCTTCTCATCTTCCTTGCATTTTCCTTCTCCGTCTCCTACTTAGTCCGTTTTATCAAATATTCTTCAAAAACAACATTTCTAATCTTCCTCTCTCTCTCTTTCTCTCATTCTCTCTCTATTTGTTTTTTCAAGCCATTCTATGAGGAGTTTTCATTTGAAAATATATTTTCACCACCAATTTCATCTGAACGAACAGAGGTCGAAATTATTCTCGAAAGAGGTCAAGAAGGACATTCATTCTTCACTGACCAGCATTCGGTTGTCGTTTTCACTTCCCCTCACTCCTATCCACTATGAATTCTTTTGTTTGGATGTTTGTTTGCTTTTTGTCTTTTAATAATTTAGAAAATCTTTTTTGTTTTCTGTTCTGCTACTCTGTGTCTCTTCGTCGTTTCATGTGTTTTCTCTCTCTCTCTCTCTCTCTCTCCGTCTCTCCTTCGCTCTCTCTCTTTCTTCAAAAACTATGCCTTAATCGAATCGGACCGAAAGAAAATCTTCAGGTTTGACCTCACTTGTGTGACTACTCGATGAAGAGTGAGAAGATCCTCTCAGATTTCATCGAGACAGTAAACAACCTGTTCAGCGTTGATTGTGTTCTTCACACAGTCTGCAACGAAACTATAAAACTTCGTTGATCTTGTAATAGCTTGGGCATCACTAAGAATGTGCTCATGAACGGTCTTCACCAAAACAAACTTGATTGCCTTTTGTGTCCATCTCTTAAAGGCTTCCACACCTTCAGTTGTTTTCACAGTTTGCTCTCGGTTTGTGAGGACAGTCGATATGTATTGATGAGAAAAGAAGAGGTACAGGGTCGAACGGAGACTGTCAGAAGAAGCCGGTATGTCATCTCATCTGTCTGCTTACTCAAACTCACTCCCATCGACGTCTTCTCATTCTTCTCTATATGCAGAAGTCATTCACACCATCGTTTATCCACTGACACCCTCGTACTTCACTAGTGCACTCCTGAGATACTCGCCTTTTCATTCGTCAACCCCCTATTTGTGCTCAAGAAAGATCTTCTACAATAGAAGCCACTAAAACACCAACGATTATATTCATTTGAAGCTCTGCTACAGTTGTTTTCCCACAGTCTGTTAGCCATATACACACATAGTTAACTTGTATGTTCTTTTCTATTTCGCCTTTTATTCGAACAGATGTTTTCTTTCGATACTCACATCAATACACCTGAAAGACGTTTTTCATCTCCTTTTTTCTGGTAGGCAAATGAAAAGTTGTAGTTGAGAAACCTTCTGTAGCGTCGATGTTGACATTCTAACTTCTACTTCCTTCCAACCTATTCCCAACTCTCTCGCCGATTTTACCGTTCCTCCTTCTCCACCTCCTTCTCGTCTTCCGTCTCCTCGCCTTACTCACCACCGCACCTCAGTTGCATGTGCTTTACCCCTCCTCATCTCTCAAATTTCGTTTTATTCGTCTCCTTCTGCTTAACTAACTTTCCTTCTAATCTTCTATTACTTGACTATTGCCATTAACGATTGATTTTCTCCACCCAAATAAGAAAACTGGAATCATCTGCTAATCCAATTTCCATTTTAGAATTTCTAAGACTTCAGAAGACGAAGAAGAACATGACATTTTCCTTTTAAGTCTCACCCATCTCTTCTCATCTAAGATAGTCGTATGATTAAACCATCCATCCTTCATCAATCCTTATTTCACTACCAAAGAATAACTTTCGTCTGTTATTGTTGAAATTCTTATTCATATTCCATTATTTTCCTCTTTTAACAAAAAAAAATAAAAAGAAAATACTTTGTCAAGAAAAGCCGACTCTCTCTCTCTCTCTCTCTACTTCTCTTCCACTCCTCATGCCTCTCCGTGTCTTTCAACACTCAAAACACAAACATGCAAAGCTTCGCCATGTGCTTTGCACTCAGCTTATTTACTTTTATTGCTTATTATTCTTCTATCTTCTTGAAATATTTTATCAGATGAGGCTAGAAGAGAAGGATGAAGAGAGAGGCCGAGAGGAAGGGGCTACGGCTCCGTACGTTCCTTCATCACCATACCTTTCAGTCATTTGCTATGTTTTTATGTCACAACTAACCTTTAATTGTTTGATTTTCGCATTTGAATTCTGTCAATAATCGAAAATCTCCGAAACGAGACTGATCCTTCCTCTTCCTCTCTCTCTTCTTCTCTCTCTCTCTCTGTTTCTCTAACTCTACCTCTCTCATTACTAACTATCTCTTTCTCACAAATATTATCTCCAAACATGTTTGATAAATGAATAACTATATCTTAATATGACTGAAGTCATCTTTAAAAGCAAAACCATAATGACGTTGCGCAACAAAAACGAAAAAACGTTTTGTCTTCATAAACTATACATATATGATTAATACTGCAATCTCTTTCTCTCTCTCAACGTAATTCCAATATTTCCTGTTTACCATTTTTGAGATGCTGTTCCCTCCTATGCATAACTTGTTGAAAACTCTTTGATCCATAAATTTCCCTGTCTGTTTCTCTCTCTCCCTCTCCATTTCTCTTTATCTTTGAATTTCTATGGAATGTTCGGAATTATTCATTCCCACTAATTTATTTGTTTAAATTTTGGGTTTTTTTCGTAAACCAACGTTTCACGTGTACTTCCACGTAAAACAGGCCGACAACGTGGCTCACGTACATTTGACGTGAAACGATGGTAGACGCTATGTCATATCTCATTCTATCAGATAATTCCCACATGAACGGTTGCATATTCATTATTCTCCCTTCCTCAATCGTGGGGAATCGTCTTCATTCAATTTCCTCCACAACATCCAGTATTTCCTTGTGTGAATTTTGATTTAAACAACCATAATTATATAAATATATATTTATATAATGTTATTGGTTTAAGCCTGTAGAAGCAGGTTTCAATATAAACCAACAAACTCGTCAAGTCCTCTACCTGTCAGTTTAAACTTGACCAGTTCTTATTGAAATCTTTTGTTTTCTTTCACAGCATCTCGTAGTTGTGAGAAATGAAGTCGAAGTACAAGAGTAGGCTGTATATGATGTCTCGCACATTAACTATATAATATGACCTTCGAATTGACCTAAACTAGTTAAGTAAGGTAGTTCTACGATCGTTTTTACTTCTCCTAATCTTCTCCCAAACTTCAATAAACAATATCATTTCACATACTTTATTATATAATTGACTTGTAGTTCTGTAATATTACTATAATATCTGAAATTTGTGTGTACTTAGCCAAGTGATCAATTGAATTCGAACTAGTTTCTCCTTCTTCGGTCATACCTTCCTTCTAAGTGGTCAATCATTCTCATTAAGAGTCTACCCTTTAGATATGGATGACACCGGTGTTATTCAATAAACCTTCCGGAATTCCTTCATTTCCCCCTTCTTAAACATTCGTTATTGACTCTTGTCTCATCAGCATTTATAACAAGATTTTGCTCTTCCAGAACATGCTCTGGATATTGATCGTGTCTTTACCGATCGCTCTTGCTGCGCACTTTCCTGACCCTCCAGTGTTTGCTGCCGTTCCATCTTATCCTTCAATTTGCTATCTCCCACCAGGTACCACAACCTTCCGTCTTTACTTGACACAAATTGAAACATTAAAGATTCTGGACTTTGTGATACTAAGGAGAAACCCGAACTACTAGTTAGATATTACTTCGATTCAATATCTCAAAAGTGCTATCCGTTTGGTGTTCAAGGATGTGGAGGAAACGAGAACAGGTTTGTTTCTTTTTATTCGAAGTTGAAATGCTCTCCTGTTTGCCTTTCCAGATTCAAAGATATGCAATCATGTGATAAGTATTGCCAATTGGAGACCAAGTAGGATAGGATAACAACATGAGGCTCAACTAAAGCTATCAGCATTCCATTACTTGAAGCCATGTTTAGTACGGGTATTAAGCAAGCACTTGGAGATGTATCCTGGCTCAGAGACGTGTAGAACTTGTGATACTTTATTAATAAAGGTTTATCTCGATATCACAAACGTTATCAAACCCATAAAACGGAATAAATAAAGTAAATAAGAAGAATCCGCACTTCAGCGTAACCATAAATAGTCAACCATCAAATGAAAACAGAGTTCAAACATAGATTCCTACCCACAGGAGAAGGAAGAGAGAACCTACTCCGAGGAGAATGGAAGAGAAGGCAGCCATACTGATCTCTTTCACGATGTTACGAGTGTACTTGTTGGAAGTAACCTATTATGATAACATGTAAGAGGTGACTACTTAAAGAGGGTTCTCACCTCATATACTAAGAACCAGGCCATGAACAGAAGTCCAAGTCCTCCTAGAGAACAAGTAAGAAGTGGAAAGTTCGCTTGGCTGGTCTGAAACTCAGAATATGACTGTATGGGTTAGAAGGACTTACAACTCCAGCGAATCTTCCCATCTTAGCAATGTCAGCCATGTCTCACTAAGTACACTGAAACAAAAAACGGTTTGAATGGTCGTCGAATAGACAACAGGAATGAAAGTATGGGAATCGTTGGAACGATCGAATGATGTGAGAACATGGGGATACATGCTTCTTTATATACAACATGGAAGAATCTATGAAACAACGTGTAGTATTGTTGAAAAATACTCGTTAATTATGTAGCAGCCAGAAGGAGAAATGGGAAACTGATAGACGAAGAAGACCAGAATACAGATCAGTGAGGAAGAAATATCAAAAAAATGTACAAAAATCTTTAGAAGTTCGATTTAGAATTCTCTATCTGGGAAGAGAGCTGGAGCAACCATCGTCCAACCGTAAAGTGCCAAGCACAACCACGACGAAATAATTTTCACCCAGACAGAAGCCATGTTGCTGTTCAGATGAGTCAAGTCGTTATCAGGTCTGAAGAAATCACATAGGGGGAGTACATTATGAAAAAGACTTACTTGTACCAACTTGTTAATGTCATCATAACATAGAGGGAAGCCAATCCAAACATGAAATGGAAGAAAGAGTAGGAATATGCAACTCCATCAGACTCATTATCCCAAGTCTTCGAGTTTCCAGTCTCTGCATCATCTGAAAACAGGAAGGTGGAGGGTTTGAGCTTCTCCAAGTGAATAGAAAGAACTCGTGACGGACAGATTTCATGCGAACATTAAAGAGTAAAACGAATCTCCCATTCACAAAAAATGTGTTCTAAGCTACTGTCAAATGGGAAACTACGTCATACCCTGAGTTATTATGGCATCTCTGGACCCACTAAGTTGAATATTCTCCTCTCCTCCAGTTATTTTTCCAAGTGAGGTGTTTGAGGAATTTCTAATGGAAGCATAAAGAAGGCAGGCAAACCAGAGAATCAAAGATATGATGGACTGGGCAGGCAGTGGAGTTCCATATCCCTAAAATAGATCCTTTCAGTTTTGATCGAGATGAGAGTACTAACATGCTCGCCTTTGTCATCGGGCTTGGTAGTGTTAGTGAAAATGCTGATCAAGGAAGGGTTACACTCCTTATCTGAAAAAAAACGTATTAGAATACAAGACAAGCATATGCGTACCTGGGTTATTCACTAGAGCAGCCCATGTTAAATACATGACATACATGCAGATGAATGATGATTGTAACAGCCCAGAGCGGGGCATTCTTTCTTGGACGAAGGGCATGACAGATATCACGCTAACACCAATGCAGAGTAGCATATTAAAAGATATGAAGAACTTTGGAAGAGCACATGTAGCTCCCTGCAAATCATGTTTGAAAACAAGCTAGTCTTAGTAGGACTTACAGTTGTGTAAATTATGTACATGAAGATGACAGCAATGAGAGACACAGCGAATCCTCCAAAAGAAACTCCAAGAAGACCAGCGAAACACCATCTAGACTCAGATTCCTCATAGCTAAAGATATTATTCGAAATATCCAACCAAAACAAAAATTACCTTTCGACCCACTGCTCAGCAAGACCATGAGCGAAGTCAACAATGAGGATCAGTTGAATCAAAATGAACATGAAACCACCAAGAAGTCCGAACCACATCAATGCTGAAAAGTAATTGTCAAATTTATAAAAATGTGGGAACGCTTTGACGCTCTTCAATGCTATTAAGCCACTAAGAACAACACTAGCCCTCTCTACATTCTCGCACGATGACATTATACGCAAGTCCGCATTGACAGACCACGTCCCTTGCATGTGCACCTAGGAGGACTTGAACCTCCGACTATTACTTGATAGTCACAATACATCCAATAGACCACACTCGGATACTTACGTGTTGCCAAATGTTCACTGCTTATGAAAAAGAAACCAACAATCAATCCAATAACCATCAAGTATTTGAAGAACCTAAGGGAAGGAATTAGACTGTAAACCAAAACACGAAAATACCAGAAGCCATTCTGAATAGATGCTCGTCCATCTTTCGAAGACTTCACACCAAACATCATTATCATCAAAATAAAGAAGAAAGATGCCATTCCAGCGCACAATCTGAACTCGACATTGTACAGACTCAGAGGACAAGAAATGAGCGCTCAAACCTATACACAGCTTGGAAGCCTGTTGCCTTTTCACACGTTATGCCTGCCAAATCACTCAATCCTTTACAAAACCATTCATGCTGGAAACATCATAAGTGTATTCCATATATATCAAAATGTAACAACCTTAGCCATGTACTCCTGTATACCGGGAGCAAGCATTATGCAAGCTAACACTGTACCGAAAAACAACATCAGAGCGTACATTATGCGAGTTGTCGTAGAGTTTCGAGATGTGGGACATGCTGAGCAGCATAGAGAACATGCAGCACTGCCAAAACAGCATGCTGTCTGTGAATCAACTTTATTTAGTTCGAAACAAATAAACACATACCGAAGCTCCACATGGGAGCGCGAGAAGAGCGCCCATTTACAGGACTGCTGCTGAAAATTGATTTTTTAAAGAATAATGAGAACAGTCTTCATGAAAATGAAAAAAAGTATTTAAGCATCTGAATCATTCATGATAAATGTAAAGACATAATTATTTCAAATACTTATAAGCACAGCCATACACATGTTTCAGCGTGACTGAGTTAAGCATATCGACCCAGTTGACTAGCTGGATCGTGACGGGACCAATTGATACCCGCCCTTTACCAATATTAACTTATGCTCCAACCACGCCCTTTCGCTGAGTTCTGAAAACTGTACGCTATAAGTTCCGTGTGTTAGGTATATATTCTGAAGAAAGCATCCAAGTGATTCTACCGAAGCTAGCCGAGTATCTCAGATATCGCTGGATCCAAGAGGATCTCGTTATAAGCCAAATAGAAGCTTGGGCACGAGTCCTCCTGAGAGAAACATGCACCCTCTACTCAGCCAAACATATTTTTCACCTCTGGTACATTACACCACAACTTGAATCGTTGAATTGACAGTTGGATAACTATCTTTCGAGTGGGAATTTTGACTCAGTCAGTTTGCATTATGAATTGTAGAGAAAGCCCATTACCGGTTGAGGCAATTGAACCCCGACTTCGCTGAGAGACTGTCCTATTCATAAGTTGTTTCACTACTTGTACTCTACGTTTGATTCCGATAAAATCTCGAAACTGGGCCTGTTCAGATGATATTATGAGTTTAATGTTTCACCAAACTATAACAAGTCTAGCTCCACTCGCTGAAGTTCATCAAGAGAGGCTCCAATGAGAAGTTGGGGCCTGACATTTCTCGGGTCTTCTCTGAAACACAACGGAAGGTTGTATTCCACCTCAAGCCGAAACTGTTTCAGTAAAAGAGAAGAATTTGATTTCAAAATAAGAAGATTTATTAAAATAACAATATTTACAATGAGCATTGAGAAATGCAAAAACTTCATCAGGTTATTAGGACTAGGTGGAAAAACGGTGATCGGCACATAGACATTAATTATTCTTTTTACCCGGAGACAATTCACTTCTAAACAATATTGTGACACATTACTGAGCGTATGAAAAACACAACTGATATATTTCGAAAACTTGGAGTTATAAGACAGCGTAGCTAGTCTCATCTAACGATAGGACGACTTACAATCGCCCACTTGATCAATAGGAGAAGCAACTTCGGAAGGTGTTCGTAACTGATGGGATTTGAAACTAAAAACATACTCATTATCCAAACAACTTGAAAAATGTTACTCACGTATATCCAGAGAAGCCACTAACAACAGAGTTTGTTTCAGGCTCTTCACTGAACTCGGGTATAGGAGATTCGTGCCCATCTAATGAGTATTGCTCCAAATAACGTTGAACAGCATCAAATGCGTTAGAGAGACGGTCAAGCTGTTCATGAACAGATTCATCGTCACGCGGTGGCTCAGCTGCTGCTGCTAACAAATCCTCGACCGAAACTGACAGACATCCCTTGTTTTGAGATCTATGTGGAAGTTATTTCATGATACGGGTTATAGATTGCTGGACATACCTTATTAGCTCAATGCTTTTCTTGCATTTTTGAGAGAGCATATCTACAGCTCTAGTCAACCCATCTACTTGCTGTAAAGAGCGATTGAAAAGTTATTATGCATCTAACAAACCTTTCCAGTAGCTCTCGAACTTTGCTGGGAGAGCCTGTTCAAGTTCTTTACAACACCACGGGAGTATTCGGCAACAATCTGTTGACTCGCCTAAACCAGCAAATGAATATTTCAATCAAAAGAATAACTTACATGTTCAGCATCTTCCACTGCAAGTGACTCTTGCGATCTATTTCTGGTCAAATCACCATAATCAGGCTAAACAAGGATACTTTTGAAAGAAAATTATCGATTTTAACTTACTAGTCGCGTTTTAACAGGTGTAGGTCCAACATGGAACGAAATGGATCTACTGGACACAAATTGGTCCCCCCTGGAAACACAAATTAGAATAACTGCCGTGAGTCGTAAACGTGAGGCCTAAGCGTCTTTATTTTAAATTTCACTTCGATGGTGCGCGGTTGCAGTTTTCAAAAGCAAGGTATGAATCCATTTCTTTTTGACTATTTTTCACAATTCACATTACTACGATTAACAAACCTATCTGAATCACTATCGCTGGGTGATATGTTAGTTAAGCTAAAACTTTTGGTAATATCATTGAAAGCGTTTTACTCACCTTGACTGCTGCTCCCTCTGTTTTTTCGCTTCTGCTGCTGCTTTCATGGGGTTGTAATCTTTTCTTCGAAGCCAAGCATTCATCTCTTGTTCTCGTTGTTGTACCAGATTTCCACCCTGAGAGTTAAGTAACTGTTGAATGATTGTATATGATTAATTTTACAGTATTTCTCATCGGAGCTGCACCAGCTCTAAAAGGCGGTCTCTGTTGCTTCTGTGCGGCTTGTGGGCTTGAGCCTCCAGAAGATAATGCTCCTCTCATGGAGAATCTTCCGCCATCACCTCTTCTGAAAAAAGAAAATGAAAATTGTTTTATAGTAGCTATCTAATAGCTTGCGGAAACTTCATGTTCCGCAAGGTTTGAAGATCACGCCGGTTAGATTAATTCTATTCGAGTTTCAAAAAAAGCTTCTATGATGATAACAACACATAAGCATCTTCTAGGTTAGGATTACTGTTGCCGCGTTGAATAGTTGATAGGCAAGCTCGGCGCATTTCATAAGTTAAGGGTTGAGAAGTAATGTTTAGGGGAAGGTGAATTCTTATTATATCCAGTCTCAGCCTATTCCTGATTTCATAGGAAGAAAAATGAACCATCATTTCTCTTTAGCGCAGGATATATCGAACATGTTTGATTTAGCTGATTTCAAAACTGCTTCTTGATTTGCCTGCTCACTATGTATGACGAAAAGTATTAGAAATTTGAATTTCCTTTTTTGGAATGATGAGGTGTGAGTACTAGGTTTAAAATATCATCTGCAATGTATTTCAACGGTTAAGCTTCGATTTAACACGAACTGCTATTGCATGCAAGCTAAATAATCCGCAAATTAGTAGAACAGAGGGTCAACAACACTCAGATGAAGCTCCATAGGCGCCACACGAGTTTACGAATGAAATAATCAAAAGAAAGCGTAATAAGGTTGACATGCTGTTGCAACCACAACGAATTATCTTACGTACGTTTCACTTTGGCAGCGTTTACTCTTCCTAAGAAAGTTTTTTTAAAGCAGTATGAAACTTAGTTGTTTTTGTTTTGTTTTAAAAGAGGAATGACATATTAGAAGTGCAACTAAAAAAGACCTGAATGCGTTAGATGTGACAGTGGTTGATGCGGAAGATGGTGTTACTCGAGTGTGAGCTTGTCCATATACAGACCGATTAGAACTGCCAACAGTCGAGCCGGATTGTGATGAGCCAAGAGAAGTTCTTTTAGCTAACGGTGTCGCGTTGGACTGACTAAATGGTCTTGGAGCATCTGGGAATCGCGTTCTTGGTACAGCAGGAACTATAAGTTTCAACTATTATTTATGATAACTTTCAACTCACCTGGTGCTGTAGATGGTTTTACTATGGCAGTCTGACGAAGCCTACTTAGTTCTCTCAACATCTCATCATTGTTAGTTAGAGCAGGTGTAGATTTGATAGTAGTTCTGGGTGGAGAGGCTGTTCTACTAGATCTGTAATTCTGTTGTGACTGGGAGTTCATGTCTTGTTCACTAACCCGCTATCACTGTCGGTAGAATCATCATCTGAGTTCTCAATGATGCGAGAAGGCATAACTCTTTGAGCAGCACTAGGTCGTTTTGAACTATCTGAAGAACAAGAGTATGTTCAAGTGAATGCGATTTTTTCTAGTTAAGTGAGAGTTTTGATTTTTCAACAGACGTACCGATTACAAAAGTTCCTGCTTCACTAACTGCATCACAGTCCTGATGATCCAGTATTTCATGAGTCTCTATGTTTGAGTCTTTGCCAGGAGAGCCTTAATCGTCATTAAAGTTAGGTTAAATTAGTTTTCTTACCTCCATTAAGAAGTTTATTAAGTAGATAAGCTTTATTAGTAGTGGAACCTGCGCTATTCTGTGGCGTTGAAACTTCAGGTTCTATTCTAGCTGTACCTGCTTGAACCACACCAGTACGACGACCAAGAGCTCTCCTTGCCTAAAAAAATGTTAAACTCGGTTAGATTAACAATTACTAACCTGAGCAGAGCGCCGCGCAGCATCTTGAAGTGATACTTCGCCCGGAGAATCGAAAGTAACGGTGAAAGCAGTACCCGGAGCTCGTGGGACAGCTATAAAAATAAATTTAAAAAAATGAAAGCTTGAGAAGTGCAGGAAGGGAAACATGCAACAATAGGAAACCTTTTTTTTTATCTTGAAGTTCGTCTTCTTCAGGTAATGGTTTGGATAGATCGAAGTCAAGACGCACAGAACGGGTTGGAGCTAAAAGGCACATCACATCACGAAAGCAAAACAAGGCATCATGCGAGGTTAAAGCGAATAAAGGTACGGAAAATATTACGTTTTTCTCTTTTCGGTTCTTCAGCTGATTTCTTGAAATCAAAATCCATTCTAACAGGCTTAGCTGCTGTTGGTGGTCTTGGGGAATGCAGCATAGCCGATGGTCGCATTGCTTCTGTATCGGAGGCTGATGACTGTGCGGGGGGAGACCTGGTGATGGGCCTTTTACTATAAGACATAGGTTTTAAATGATATTAGAGTGTTGAAATACCTTTCTACATCCGTTAAGGATTCTTCCTCATTGTTCCTTCCCCACCACTGAGGGGGGCCTCCGTACAATGGTGTTCTTTCAGATAATCCTCTAAACTGATCAGGGGTTCCTTGGAAAGTACCGCTACCGTGGCGAACATATTCCCCCGAAGAACGAGGTGTAAATTCAGCACTAGAGCGTGTTACATCTCTTCTTAAACATGAAAATGTGAACGGGGAGAAAAGGATATAATACCTAAAGCTGTCGCGACTGCAGTCAGGATCTTCTGGTTGACTATTCGGACTAGTTCGAGCATTTTGAGAACTTGGTCCCGCGGAAACATTTGATGCAGCATAAGCACTGGGCTTTTGTCTGCAATAAATAATTCGGGGGAGATAAAAAGAAGAATAAAAAACCTGTAGTGTTGAGCAAATGAAGTAACTTGTGGTTGATATGGAGATCCATAAAACATCTGTTTCCCTTGTGTTGTCGACAAAGTTGGTGACTGAGGAGGATGTTCATCTGCAGATGTTCAATTACAGTGGTTTGAAAGAAAGAGAAAAGGATCTCACCGAATCGCCGTTCATCCATATCTCTCCGAGAAGAGACATCATCCTGAGAGGAAAATGCGTGATTATAGCCTTGACGATATGGTGATGATCCTGTCATAGGGCGTTGCGAAGCGTTCCCATAAGAATTATGTTGCATATTCAGAGGGAACCCATTTTGCGATGATGGTGGCATAACGAACCCTGAACAGAGCTATTAGTAGATTTGATATCTTTGAGCATTTACCTTGTTGATTAGGGAGACCTTGATTATAAGGATAGTACATCGGTGTAGCCTGGGGTGGGGGATAATACATAGGCTGTAGAGGCTGATAAAACGCTGTTTGAGGAATCAAATAATGTTGCCCAGTATTAGGATCAACCAATACTTGCCCTTGCAAAGGGATTCCTAATAACAATATTTAGTAAAGATTTTTTACAGAAATGAAAGAACCTCCAGGTGGGACCATTGAATGTTGTGGTTTGGAAGGATCATCTCGTTTAGTAGACGATCCGCTCACAACGGAGCCGTCTCTTGGGCTATCCAGAATATCAGCTCCCTTGAAATAATAACTTATAAAAGGAAATGGAAAATATAAGCAAGTACCTGCTGTAAGGTATCAACCACTTGCTTTTTATTGAGTAACGGGTCATTTGAGCTCATTGTGTTTTCAGGTAGAACTGCCAACGACACTATAAAAGTAAGAATGTGAAAACTAGGGAATACGAATAACTAACATCCAAAGCTTCCTGAATGGCGTTGTCTATTGCATCGGCCCTGCTCTCTGTCGTCTTGTGTTCGTGGTATAAACAAAGACTAAAATAAAAAGTAGAAGACGGAGGAAGTGAAAGGGAAATAATATAATTATGTGAATGATATGATGAAGGAAGTATGGTGATTCTTAAAATTAGGAAAATAGGTTGGGTGACTAAGTGAGAAGCGGGTTTGAATCAATATAGAGCACGGATTTGCGTCGGGAGCGGGCTTGAGAGAAAGAAGATGAATTTTGAAATTCGAGCGTTGGTCACTATATTACTTATGAGGAGAGAGAGAGAGTAGTAGAGTTTGATGGAATATGTAAAATGAGAAATTCATAAAATTCACTACGAGGTATAGGAGAAACAAAATTGAAAGCCGAATATTATTGATCGCCGATGGTGATGGTTGTTAGGCTAGGTCGCAGTCGCTTGTGGGTGGTCGTTGTTAGCGTTATGATGATGATCTTGTTGATATGAATGTAACGTTTTAGAAAAAAGAAACAAAAGAGAAGAAACACGAGATTCTCCTAGAGCTCCCGTGTCTTTGTATAAATATGTGTGTGCGTGACAACAAAGACACAAATTGGAAAGAAGTAATCAATAACCTGACCAGAACACCAAGAGTGAACAGCTGTACTTCGGGACAGAGGTAGGTAAATCGAATGAGTAAACAAATTAAATCATTATTATAGACGTTCTCAAAGTGTACAAATGACCAAGTGTCAGAAGAAGCTAAAGAAACGCTTGTTGACAATAATTTGCCATAAAGTGACCATTTTGAACGCATTTAGAGAGAGAGAAGGAGAGAAAAACCGGTCTAGAGCGCACGATGAATGTGTGTAACACAACGATCACATGGAAATTGAAAAATGGAATTATTTCAAAGATTTTAACACTAAATTTTCTGTACTGGGGAAGAATGTGTGTGTGTGACATGGGACTGTTCGAGGCGAGTTGGAGGGATTGAGCAGTCAAGAGGCGACAGAAGGCGAGAGATAAATGTGAGGGAATAGACTGGTCCTCCGGCTGTACGTAGCAGTCAGTTGCGATGGACATGTACGGTGTAGAGACCGATCAATAGAATGAAATATGGAGAGGGGAGGAGGCGACGAATAGTAGAAATAGAAAGAAAGGATAAAGGAAGCTGGAGCGAGAGCAAGCCCTTTTCATTCGTCTTTCATGTGTTCGATAAAAAGCTCTCGAGGTCCGTAAGAAAAAAGAAATATCTCCATAAATGGAAAAGTTGGTAGTGAATATAGGCTACTGAGACAGAGAGTTTATTTCGTAATATCGTGTGAGCTCTAAAAATTGGTCGATGTTAGGAGAGAAAGAGAACAGAATCGACCGCTCTTCGTATTCGAAATTAATAAAAAGAAATGGGGGAAACAGAACGACGCTTCATGGGCGATGACAAAATCGCATAGAATTCTCGATGAAAAGAGATGAAGAACGATTGATGAACTTACATTTCTATGCGGGATCTCCGCAATGACTTGAGCTTGCGAATATCGATGATCGTGGAAATACATTTCTGGAACCGTTGATCCGCCGTGATATGAATGACGATTGGTTAAATTGTTTTGAGCGGCTGCAATAATTAAAATGCAAAAAAGGTATTCGGAATATAATGTAAAAGGAGATTACCTGGTGTCCGCTTTCGGAACTGTACATGGACTTCGGGTGTCTCGGGAAAGAAATCATCTTCTTGCTGTAATGCTCGTTCATGAAGAGATTATGCAGATACAATTTACCTTGTTAATTTCATGTTGACTCATAGTATAAGGGTTTTGGTTTCTCATCGGATCTTTCCACATTACGTAGTGGTAGAACAGCTGCGAAGCTGTCACTCGGGGATCTTCAGCAAACTCTGCCTTGCTGAGCTGCTGGAGGCAAATGTGTTGAAAACAAGAGATGAACAAACTATTTCACAAAAAAAGGTCATTGTTGATAAATTACTGAGTTCATGAATAATTGATTCATAAAGAGCCAAAAAATTTCATTTTATAATGATAGCACGACAAGCTGCTGATAAGAAGAGTGTGGGGGATGTGGTTGGAGAAAAAAGTAACTGCAAAGGAAGTGAACCTGCTGTTCGGGAGGTTGAATGAGTCGCGAAGGAAGGTGTTATAAAGTGCCTTTGATGGTAAACAGCACCAAATGCAATGAAAACGGAAAGAGTGCGAAAAAAAAAGAAAGAATGGTGAGGCAAGCCGCCCAGTCAACTTCAAGGCTACTGTCTCCAAACTCAACCCGAGTTGATGTTAGCCAGAGATATGAGTCACGTAATATGAGATCGGGTTGGACGACAAGTGAACGAAAACGAAGAAACAAGCCTGTGCAGATGCGGAAGACAGATCAATATTGTAAAATTTGTTGATTGGACACAAAGAGGCAGAGATGAGAGACCGAGTTCAGCCACGAACACACTCAATCACCGTCTTCTTCATCATCTTCTAGTAACTCGTGTCTGCTCCGTGTTTGCTTTACAGCTTCAGTCCCCCCACGTGGTGCAAGTCGGAAACAGTTCGATGGCGCCAGAAAATGATAGAAGAAACATGCTAAACCGCTGCTCAACACCAGAAAAACATTTGTCAACAAATTTATTTTGTGTATCAATTAGACTATAGCAAACTTAAAAAACTAAACAGCTATTGATTAAGAGTTCTCTCGATGAAGTCGTCAATATCATTGTCTTCAATCACTCCTTGGAACATGTAAATCGCTTCACCACCTTTGAATGAGATCACAGTAGGTACAGCAGTGACTTGATAATCCATTGCTATCTCTCCAGCTTGGTCTACATTAATTTTAGCCATCACTACCTCCCCTTGTCGTCCCTTGACCTGGAAACATAGTGTCAATTAAAGAAACCATAATTATCAAAACCTTCTCTTCTAAACGAGGTCCTAATGTACGACAAGGCCCACACCAATCGGCATGGAAATCCACTAATACAGGCACTGCTGATTCGATTACTTTCTCTTGAAAATCTTCAGCGGAAGTTACATCGAAAATGAGTTCAGGGGCTGTACAGAAACGGGCACGTTGGACAAACGATGTTGTTGTTGGACTCATTTGTTTATGTGCCATGACATTTGAAAGACGTGATAACGTCCTGAATGCATGTCGAACACTCATACCTGAAGAAATAACAATTATAATAATGAAAACATTAGCATTGAAGCAAGTTGATAACACCGACGTCAGGGCTAAAATACGTACGCAATTTGCGGTTTACTCGTTGATAACACAATATGCCGGCTGCGTAACATATACTTGTCTTGCTAGACTCACTAAGTGGTTAGATTTCGCACTATCTGGTTGGGCAATGCTCGTTAGTGTTATATATACAATTGTACTAACATGTGGAGGGGTTAATAATCTCTTTTTTTTCCGTTCACACTTCTCCCTGTAGTGAACTGATCAACCAAGATGCTAAGTTTCACGCGCTTTCGTTAACTGCTTTACCGACATACGGATCTATGCTCCCCTACTTTCATTACTAACGGAGAAGATTTTCAATTTTATTGATAGCAGTCAATAAGTGAACTCGAATGAGAAGACTTTGTATGAACAAGACAGCTCCTCTTCACTTCCCGACAGTCCAGTTATATAAAGTCAATCTGAGTGTCTTTCTTAACCGCTTTATTACGCATAATACAACTTCGGATTGTAATTTGATAGTTTTCCCCGTTTTCAATCGAAAAGTTATACTTCCCAATCGGTTGTACTTCAGTGAGTGTTCTACATTTCTTCTTGTTTTCCATAGTACCAAGATCCTGGTTGGAAATCCCAGACCCGTGATCATTATTACTCGGGCTACTGTATACCTTGAAGGAGGATATCAGTTATCTTTAAAGGGCGTATTAGCTAAAGCGTTGAATACTCAGTGAGCAGTGAAAACTGTGCAAGATTTAGGAATTCTATCTGAACTGTGAAGTCTCCGTCTCTCTCAAACGTGTGAACTTTGATTTTGATTGCAAAATGAGGGAAATCTTAGTGGGATTGTTAGGAAAATCCCAATTTGACTTTCATCATTTCGCAATTGAACGCTAATCATTGTTATATCTCTGGTGCTGATAAGGAAGTATTCATAAATATGGTGTGAATAGAGGTATTTGACTAGAGTCTCGTTCCTTCTGCTAATTGTTCGTTGTAGATCAGAAACTACAAAGGTTCTTAGGATCGCTTCATTTCTTTTTCTCAAAAGCCGAGTCTGATTATCACGGTGATGGTAATCCTGAATAACTAAATGCAACAGTACGTCATATCTCTAACAGATGTGTGCTCGTTTTGAGTTCTTGATAAAGTTGAATTACGTAAGTGTTAGTACCAAATGTTGAATGTGGGAATAAAAAATGCAACCGCTCATTGCGAAATTCAATTGTTGAGTGAAGAGTCACGTATAGTTTCACGTGATATTCCACGTTTCTCTTTAAGTACGCTAGCAATGTGGGGTCTTCATATGAAAAGGATAGGTATCAAACTTAGCTTGTTATCTTACTTTTCAATTAGTTGGAGGAATGGGATGAAAAGGAAAGTAGGAAGCCTCGTCCGTGTGTGATTTGGAAAATGGTAAGTACTTTAATTACTCATGTTTATTCAGCGCTTTGCAAATTAGACGACTCGATTCGCCTACCAGCTTGCAAAGAAAACATTGAACTCAAACATTACTTCTACATGGATCGAGTTGACAACATCAGAATTCTAAATGTGTGAGGTTATGGGCTAGAAACTCCATGTAGAGGGTCTTCTCAAGCTACACCTGAAATGCACTATGTTTACCACGCATTCAAACGTGAGGATGTGGTTCTTATTTGTTCAATGTTCAAAGTTCAGTAAGAACGTTTGAATGAATGTAATGATTAAACAGTACTGCTCGCACTGGTACATAGTCAAACATGTTTGTGAGATGGTTCGATACCTGTGCCGCAATCGGGTTGAACAACAGTTCTATGAAGTTTTAAGAAGGGTAAGACATTTGGCTGACGTCTGGCAATTCATAGTGTTATGTTGTCTCATATTGGCGCAGCCAAGCCATTGCATGGGATGATGTTTCTCATGAATCTTTATGAATGCAAATAAATCACAAAAACGTTGATATAACATGGCTTTTCCGACTATTGTCTAAGTTTTGAAGATTTATGGCTAAATTTCAGAGAAAGTGTTCAAGTTATTCCAATCGTTTCGCCAAGTGTAAGGACGTCATACTTCTCCAGGCAATTTTCGTAACGACGTCTACAGCTGGAGACATTAGTGTAACAACTCTTCATTCTAATTAAATTTGCTTGAGATCCATATGAGAAAGGGCAGGGTGACATGTGACTTAATCTAAGAAATGGAACCTTTGACGTAACTTATCGTGCAAGCTCAAAGTTTTAGTCAGCTAAGGCTTCGCATTGCAGATGATGTGCTTCTCCAAGATGTGGAAGTCTCTCGCTACTTTTCCAGCTTATCATTCTTTTTTTAGACAATTACGTTACTTTTGTGTTTGCAAAAAAGATGTTACTACTAATGATTGGGCCACTTAGTCTTCTCTCTTTCTTCAGAATCTTTGGCCAATTCCCCAATATGTTTTTCACACATTGCTGACCACAACAATCCAGCACTTCATGTATGCAGTGTTCCGTGATTCTGCTTGATCAGCAACATGCCGAAAATGGTAAGTAAATATCTTGAATCTTCAGAAAGATCCTTTGAAATCCCACTCCCCTTTGTGAAGAAATTATATATTGAATTACCACGTTTTTCTCAATTCGTGTATGTTTTGCCCTCATTGCATTTGCCACATACGTACGTGTCACCTCTCAAACTGAGTTGGAAATTAGAAAAAGTATGAGAATGGGTGCAAATGTAATAAGATTCTTGTCAATCCAGATTGAACGAACCTTTTTTTCATTCCATTTGCTCATCCTCCTTTTCTATCTCTGCGAATTGCTTTAATTTCCCGTTTTTCAGGGAATGCTCCGTCTATTTCTTATCGTTCTGCTGTTTTTCTCGCTCAGCTTCCTAACCATCGTCAACACATTTTCTCGTGTAAATTCTACTTCCAGGTATATCTCAAAAAGCATTTATCAAACTAAAATCTTAGATGCCCCTATCAATGTTCAAGTTTTTTCTTTTCCATTTTGAGAAGGAATGTTTTTAACACTTCTTATCTGAAAAGCAATTCTTTCATCATGAAATGCGAGAAGACGAGAAAAAAAAGAAAAAAAATTGATTTTGGGAATTGAAAACGTTTCTTCCAGAAATGAGTTCGAATCGAGCGAAGTTCCGATTGCCCAGTATGCCAGGTTCAAGTAAGATGAACACTTTGGTTTTCTTTCAAATGAGTTTTCGTTCCAGATCAGGATCAGAAGATGTCATAGCTCGATATCTTCAGAGAATTTAAAAGCAAATGACCAAAATAAACCTTTCGTAAAATTACTTATCTTATCTATCAAACTATAAAAGACACAAGTCTGGTTCATTTGATGCTCATTTTGCTTCAAAACACAATCACTGTTTTCCTTTGTTCTAATCCCGCATGTCTGGGGAGAAAGAAACCAATCCGAAGCTGCTTGAGCGCCAAGACACTCGTGTAAATTTACAAATAAAGCGTCCTGCCGCGTTGGCATTGCCACGCCATGTCTTTAATTCTCATTTTCATTTACGCGGTTACAGCGTGCGGTTGATTAATTCGCTCCTGTGTTTTTAATTTAACTAACTCGATTTCAGTTACTGCTCGAAGATCAGCATTAAGTTTATTAATACTTGTTGACAGTTCTTATTGAGTTCTGTTATCAGTATGCACATTTTATTATTAAAATTGGCTAGTGATGTTCCTAACTGATAATTTTTAAAATGATAAGGAGGTAGGTCCTCGATTAAAAGTTTACTATCACGAAGATTTTCAGTTTTAGAGACTCCACACCATCATGCGTTTCCTTTGCCTTGCCCTATTGGGTATAGCATTGGTGAGTTAAGTCTGAACTTCTCGTAAACTTGTTGTTTTTAAGGTATCAGCTAATGTACGATTACGCCAAAGCAGACATGCTCGCCCTGATGATGATATGGCAGCACCACTTAGGTAAAATTAGATTCCAGTAATAAAATATGACATTGCTTGATAAGAGAGTTGTAGGGAGCATTAGAACAGTTTTTTTCTGCTTTCAGAATTTTGAAAGTGAGAAAGTTAGGCATTCCCTTATTGTTATTCGCATAGTGCAAGCTTTATGCCATTATGCTTCCATCAGTTCACATAATAAGTATTTCAGTGAGCAGACGCCTCCTCTTCATGATTGGCTGACTGCTGAACAGAAAGCTATTTTAGAGCCAGTAATGCTTGAAACTTGTTTCTGTCTCATCACATTCCGTTTCAGATCCGTGAAAACCCAGCTCAATTCAAAGAAAAAGTGCAGGAGTTTTATAAGCTCTTAGACGGAGAGACAAGAAAGAAATGGGATGAAAATTACCGTCAAGAATGTAATTCATGGCTTCCAAAGGTAAAAGGATCATTAAGCTACTTCTATTATGATACTGGTGTTGCAGGTTCTCAGTTCTCAAGAACTTGCAGACTTAAAACTTCTCGAAACTACCGATAAAGCCGCTGCTAAGGACAAGAGAAAGGAATACGAGAGCCGATTGGATGACAAATCAAAAAACATGGTCACTCTTTGGAGAGTGAGTGCTAAACATTGATGCGTAGTTAAAATGATTTTCAGGATGAGTGTGATAAGCTGAATGAAGCATCCAGAAAACGAAGAGAATTGAATGTAGTGGAAGGTTTTTAGAACAAATTTTTCATCTTCATTACTTATAGGAGTTAGATGATGATAGCGTTCAATTAGTTTTCGAAGCCTATTCTCGCGTTAGTCGCAATGCCGAACCAGCCGACGACTTCATTTCTTGGATGAGTGATGATCAAAAAAAACAAATGGGTTAGTAAACATTTTTGAATATTATTGTTTTCTCTCAGTCTTGTGTCTTGGGGGATTACTTGTTTTTATTCTGGAAGTAGCATATCAAACTTTTCATTGTTTTCTTTTTTAGGTGAACTGAAAGCTGCTGGAAAATCTCTCTCAGAACAAAGAGACAAAGCGATGGCTTTCTTCAATGCTCTCCCAGATGATAAAAGAAAAGAATTGAGAGAGAGTTATAAGGGAAAGTGCAAGGTTTGTGATTTTCTTATGATGTATTTCAATATCTATCTCTCTAGGCATACTTTGGTAAAATCGGAACGCCAGAAGAGCTGGCTGAGATCAAGCAGGCTCATGAAGCTGGTAATGGTGTTGAGGTTAGTGGATGTTCAAAGCTGTTTCGCATTATTCTTTTCAGGTTGATGAGAAGATTCAAGCTTTAATAGGACGTCAAGAAGGAGAAGAGAAAGTAACAGCTTCAAAAATGTCATCTGTGAGTTGATATATTTGAGTATTGCTGAGACAGAAGCCTTTTAGATTTGTCGTGAAGTTTTCCAAGGAGACAAAAAGAAGAAGAGGGATGTCATGCAAAAAATTGAAAAGCATCTGAGCTGGCTCACTAAAGAGCAACAAGACGTATGTTGTTAAGATACAAGTTGATAATCAAAGAGTTTACATTTAAGGAGATTAAAGGAATGGTTGATAGCGGAGTTCCCAGACACGAAATAAAGGAGAAGTTGTTCAAGTACCTTTCTAATACTGATGCTCTTGACAAGAACAAAGCCAAAGAGGAAACAACGAAGGTTTCTTTTTTATATTTTCGTAGGTGTTGTAAACTACCTATCTATAGAGATGTTACGCTTGGATGGAAGAAGTTGCTACTAAAGAAGAAATCGAAAGCTTACATAAGCTTCACGAAGTTGATCATGATGCGTGTAAAACTAAAGTCAGGGAGTATATCAAGAGATTGCCCACTGATAAACAAGTAACTCCTTTAGCAGTCTTCTTTTGTTTATCTATTTATAACTTCCAGGCTAAAGTGAACGAAGATCTTCCTTTCTGTGAGAAAGTTTGGTATGGCAGTCACGATCACGGAAACCACGGAGATCACGGAGACCACGCTAACCACGAGAAACACCATAAGCATCACGCCAGAAATGTACAAAGAAGAAGAAGACATTTGGCTGTCATTGAGGAATATATCCATTGGCTCTCTCCAGAAGACAAAGAAGCAGTTCACGTAAGTTTCGGGTTCTCTTCTTCTCCATCAAAAATATTCGAATATATGATCGTTTGCTTTATTTCAGGCTATGGAAAACTCTGGCGCCGATTTCGATGAGATCATCGAAAAAATCAAAGAAATTTTCAAAGCTCAACCTGAAGACCGTCAAGAGGAATTGAAAGAGAACTTCAAGGTAATCGATAGTCCTATCAGCTTTGATAATTAACTAATACAAATTTAAAGAACACTTGTTATAAATGGGTGAAGGAAGTTGGAACTCCTGAAGAACTAGCTGAGTTGAAAGCCCTTAAGGAAAGTGGTGATTTCACACAGGTAGTAACCATTCAAATACTTACAATTTCAAAATATGTTTAAGTTGAAAGAGAAGGTCGCTCTGCTAGAAACCAAACTTGATTCTGCTCAAAAGCATACTGTAGAACATACTAAAGAGTTGTGTTATTCCGTATGGCAGGTTAAGGTAAAGCGCACATTTCAACTGGCACTATGAACTTATTTTTCCTTTTAAGCAATCACGTATGAGGAGAGAACATTCTCATAATCTCGAAGAAGCTTTCGGAAAATATCTCTCATGGACTACTGATGAACAAAAAGAGGAATTGAGAAAGTTGAGAGAAGCTGGCAACCGCGAAGAACTTTACAAAAAAGTAATGGAATTCTTCGATGCTACTGAGGGCGAAACTAAGCAGAAAGCTGCTGGAGAATTGAAAGATGCCTGCAAGCATTTCGCTGTGGATCTCTTCGGTGAAGCTGGAGTCGAACAAATTAAGACTCTCAAAGAATCTGGTGGAAGCCAGGATGATATCGCCGCTAAGGTTCAATCTCTTGTTGATTCCATCACTGATGGTGAGAAGAAAGAGAAAGCTCAAAAATTCACTGCTGCTTGTGGAAAAATTTATCGCTCAGTTAATCGTAAGCGTAGAGATCATTCTCACCATTTGAAGGAAGCCTTTGACAAGTACCTTACCTGGACAACCGAAGAGCAAAAGAAAGAATTGACTGCACTCGAAGAGAGCGGTGACAAGGACGCAATACAAAAGAAAGTAATGGAATTCTTCGATGCTACTGAGGGCGAAACTAAGCAGAAAGCTGCCGCTGAATTGAAAGATGCCTGCAAGCATTTCGCTGTGGATCTCTTCGGTGAAGCTGGAGTCGCCGAAATTAAGGCTGTGAAGGAAGCTGGTGGAAGCCATGATGATATGGCTGCTAAAGTTCAAACTCTTGTTGATGCCATAACTGATGCTGAGAAAAAAGAGAAAGCTCAGAAGCTCAGTGCTGGCTGCGCCAAAGTATATCGCTCAGTTAATCGCAAGCGTAGAGATCACGCTCACAATCTGAAGGATGCCTTTGACAAGTACCTTACCTGGACAACCGAAGAGCAAAAGAAAGAATTGACTGCACTCGAAGAGAGCGGTGACAAGGACGCAATACAAAAGAAAGTCTTGGAATTCTTCGATGCTGCTGAAGGAGAAGTGAGGCAAAAAGCTGCTGGAGAATTGAAAGATGCCTGCAAGCATTTCGCTATGGATCTCTTCGGTGAAGCTGGAGTCGCCGAAATTAAGGCTGTGAAGGAAGCTGGTGGAAGCCATGATGATATGGCTGCTAAAGTTCAAACTCTTGTTGATGCCATAACTGATGCTGAGAAAAAAGAGAAAGCTCAGAAGCTCAGTGCTGGCTGCGCCAAAGTATATCGCTCAGTTAATCGCAAGCGTAGAGATCACGCTCACAATCTGAAGGATGCCTTTGACAAGTACCTTACCTGGACAACCGAAGAGCAAAAGAAAGAACTGACTGCACTCGAAGAGAGCGGTGACAAGGACGGAATACAAAAGAAAGTAATGGAATTCTTCGATGCTACTGAGGGCGAAACTAAGCAGAANACTGAGGGCGAAACTAAGCAGAAAGCTGCCGCAGAATTGAAAGATGCCTGCAAGCATTTCGCTGTGGATCTCTTCGGTGAAGCTGGAGTCGCCGAAATTAAGGCTGTGAAGGAAGCTGGTGGAAGTCATGATGATATGGCCGCTAAAGTTCAAACTCTTGTTGATGCCATAACTGATGCTGAGAAAAAAGAGAAAGCT